ATACATTTGTCTCAGAATGATAGGCCACCCTGTAGCAATGTAGCTTTCACTTGAAGTGTACCCTTGAGAATAATGAACTTACTTTCAAATTGGCCTTGCTTTTGTGGTGTATGTGGCTTTTTAGCAAATCTGCCACGCTCATTTCTTTCCAGAACCATCATCTTGTTCAAATGTATCACTATATACGCGCATGTATAGACAGATGACATAGATATACATATAAATTATATATTGCACCTGTATTTACTTACATGGGAATATATTCCCTTTGGAAAAATGCAAATGCATGAACATATATTTTCATCTTATATATGACTTCAAGCTAACATATTATTTCATATTTATATTTTCATAGTTAGTTTAACATGAATAATAGATCCATGAGAACAATAGTCTTTGTTTTTTGTTAAATTGATGGGTTTACTGTGAATTCAATAAATTACAATTTGCAAGGGATAAGTATACTGTATGAGCTAGCTAGTGGCTTTGTATTTTATGTTAGGCCAGGGTAATTAAATTAGTTGTTTCTCTTTCTTCTATTTTTCAAAATTGATACGGGAATGACGGTTTTTATATTACCTTTTTTGTCTATCTAAAATGCTGATGAGGGACGGGATGATTTTTTTCTTTAAAATAACTGTAAAAACAAATAACTAATTTTGAAGGAAATAAACAGAGTTTATGTTGAATTTATATGTTGAATTTAGCCTACTTTACTGGTATATTTGATCATATATCAGAACCACGATATTGAACAAATATTTCACTCTATTGAGGTGAATACCTGTACATCTTTCACAAGTGATATTCCATGAAGCCCGAAGGGCAAGTGGAATATCACCTTGTGAAAGTGCTACAGGTATTCATCGAAAATAGAGTGAAATATTTGTTTTATTATAACACTGTCTAGCTAAACATCCCTAATATTATTAAGTCATTAAGTCTTCAGATATTTTTACGAATCTACTCGGTTCGTCTGCCATTTTGACTTACCCTGAACTAAATTATTTACACTGAACGAAAACAAATTCTTTGAAAATTCCCGGGAGCGTGGGATATCGCTAGATATCTCACGGTTGTCTTATCTGATTAGCATTGCCATTGAATATCGCCAGATATCCCACGACATGTGACCCGGTTTTGACCAATCATACTGTCGCTAGCTAGATAGTGATACAGGGTGTTCAAAAAAAAACGCAACCCAAAGAAATTGCTATATCTTGAAAAATACTGGTTCAATTATGTTCATATTTTCAGGAAATAAAGAAGAGACTGTGTATGTATAGCTTCTGTCAATGGTTAGTTGTAAAACATGATGCCTTGGACACCTGCTCAAAAGACAGTTGTACTATCAAAATGCGAAAAACGCAGTCAGGGGTGACTCGAAACGCAAAAAATTAAATAACTTCCTAACCATAGTGTTTTGGCTCTTCAAATTTGGCACAAACTATCTTCATTCACTGAATGATAAATCTGTAGAGTGAAATTAAAATCACTCCAGGGACTTCACTGTCATGGTTGAAATGCTTTCAAATCTCAGTCAAACGCCCTGGTTCAGGGAGACTTAAGAAGGCATTTTGACCATGACTATAGAGTCCCTGGAGTGATTTTAATGAAACTCCACAAATTCACCACACATTGTATGAGGATAATTTGTGCCAAATCTGAAGTGCCAAAACACCATGGTTAGAAAGTTATTTGGTTTTATTGCTGTGGCAGTCACCTCTGACTGCGTTTTCATATTTTTCTAGTACAACTGTCATTTGAGCAGGTGTCCAAGGCATCATGTTTTACAACTTACTGACAACAGGAGCTATACATACATAGTCTCTTCTTTCTTTTCCTGAAAAAATAAACATAATTGAATTAGTATTTTCCAAGATATAGTTATTTTCCATTCATGTTTTTCGTATTTTGCTAGTACAACTGTCTTTTGAGCAAGTGTCCAAGACATCATGTTTTACAACTACATAACAACAGGGGCTATACATACACAGTCTCTTCTTTCTTTCCTGAAAATATGAACATAATTGGATTAGTATTTTCCAAGATATCGCGATTTCTTTGGGTTGCGTTTTTTTTTGAACACCCTGTATAATAATGTCAATTATCCTGATCTATAAAAAGTAAAAAAAAGTGTTTCATACGCCATGGATGCGCGCGAGGTACCGTGTTTTTTTCTCAGAAATGGCAGAAAAAAGGTGGAGGGGGATTGGGCCACACGCGGGCAAGAATGAGAAACAACTAATTTAATTACCCTAACCTTAGTTCATCCAGTCGTACGTTTTGTCATTTCCTGTTAACTTCCATAGGCCACTCTGAGGACAGTGCTTTTATTTCAACTGGGAGCTTACCTCCACACGACTGATCATGTGACCATGGTGGTGGTCCCCTTTAAATTGATGGACAAACATGGCTCGAGCTTGGAAAGTCCTTGAAGGACAATATTACACTAAGACACATAAGCATGAGACTTTATTATGTGGCGAGACACACACTAAAAAAATGTCACCCAAAGTTTGGAAATGCCCACGATTTCATACAGATGGGTACATCTTTGGGGATGTACATACAGGCGGACAGATTGATGGAGGCGTTCCCTATATCCCTCTGAAAATCGTTCAATGGGATAATTAGTAATTACCTTCCAACTCTGAAAATTTGAAGACAAAATGTGATACATTTTGATATAGGCTATCTTTATTTCTGTCAACATGTACAGTTGTATTAATTTACATGTTTTATTCAAACCCTCATAGTTGATAAATAATTGAACAAACTGGTAAAAAATCGAAGCGATTGGAACAAGTATCTATTTAAAAAATGTGTCCATCACCCCTAAGCAATTTAAAGTGTATATAGGGTGTCTCAAAAAATGTACCCAAAAGTTTATCAACACCATAGACAAACCAATCAATATTTTCAGACATTTTTTGCATGGTCTTGTAGATAAAAGATGAACGTTTTTTCACCTATACAGTTTTAAATTCAGTTTTGCCTTTTTGATACTTTAACCCGTTACCTTTTACACCACATATTCAATGTAATGTCATATTTCGAGGACAGTCTGCATCCTTACTACTACATTGTTCATCACATTTGATATTTCTGGTGGTATGTTTTGATTTCTGTTCGGATGCTGGTCTTAAGTTGTTCTAGGTCTCTTAGCTTGGGTTTAGCATAAAAATGGTCCTTCAAATAGCCTCAGAGAAAAAGTATGGGCCGTCAAATATGGTGAATAGGGGGGCCCTCACAATGTCTTAAAGCCCATATACAGAGGTCAGAGGTTCAAGAAACTACATTGGTTGGGATTCTAGTGTAGCTTTTGTTGTGTGTATCAATTTGAGAGCACTGTGTTTTCATTTGGATATCATTTGGTCTCCAGGCTAGCCTGCCTAACTCTGGAAGGTAACTCCCGAATCATTTGCCGATAATTGACCTGATTATCTGTGTTTGTTCTGCCATCGTCATCCTCAAACATCTTGCTCTATGGCTATTTGAAGGAGTGTTTTAATGCTCATTCCAAGCAAAAAGACCTAGAACAACTTAAGGGCAACATCCAAAGGGAAATCCAAAACATTTCACCGGAATTATTATCAAAAGTATACAGGCTGTCATCGAAATATGAGGTTACATCGATTTTGTGGTGTAAAAGGTAAAGGGTTAAAGCATCAAAAAGACAAGACTGAAATAAAAATGGTGTATTGGGGAGAAAGCTTTCATGTTTTGGCTACATGACCATGCAAAAAATGTCTGAGAATATTGATTGGTTTATCTGTGCTCTTGATATACTTTTGGGTACATTTTTTGAGACACCCTGTATATACATCACAACTTATCCTCTCATTGCGAAAGGTTTGAAGGTTTTAAAGGTTTGAAGAATATGGCGTAATACAGTGCGTATCAAAAAAAACGCAACAGATTGTTATCTTGGAAAAGCATAAAACCAGTGATAACAGCATTGATTTCATTCAATGCACTATCATTCAATGCACCATAAAGCCACATGTCTCCTCTTTACAATTGCTGGAATTACACATGGGGTTTTACAAAAGCTTATTCGGTTTTAACCAGGTTTAAGAATTAGGTGTAATCACGATTGCGATTTTACAAAAGCGCCTTTCTAAAACTCCAAGAACCCTTGTCCTATGTCCTATGACACTTTAAAAATGTTGGTGTAATCAGAGTGGCGATTTTGTATAGTGCCTTCCACTAAAACATTTTAGCGGATTTTGTGGTGTAATTCCAGCAAATGATATATCATTCATTGATATTTGGTCATGGTTGGGCGAGTAATCATTCCATTTGCAAAGTGGGCCAAAATTAGCTTTGGGCCAAGTTATAAACATTGCAAAAGTCAGTGTACGGAGCCCGATGCAATATTGGACAAAAACATAAAACCAATGCTGATTGCATCCTTTTCATTAAATGTACCAAAAAGCCAAATTACTCCTCTTTGCAATGGAATATTATTCATTGGCCGAATAATCATTAATTTTGCAAAGTGGGGCAAAATTCAGCTCGGACCGAAGTTTAAAACATTGCAAAAGTCAGTACAAGGGGCATAGGGGCTATTGGAAGAAGGTGTGACAGGTGTGGCATAGACAGTTAAGTGTTCATACTCTTACTCTTGCAAGAATACATCCAAATTGCCACCACTTCCTTGCACATAAAGATGCGCTCATCTGTCCACGTCATGCATGGTTCAGCCCTGAATCATCTGTGGGTTAAAGTAGAGAAAAGCAGCCCATGAGCAAATCTTTCTCGAGGTTTTGCAATACCTGGTGGAGGAATTGTGAGCACAGATGCTCCTGAGAAAAAGCTCCAAAAGAAAAAGTCACAACAATTCAAGTCGGGGAACTTCCATTGGTACTTAGCCCTTGAACTGATTTTTTCAATATCTAAAACTTGGTCCAGAGCCGATTTTGACCCACTGTGCAAATGGAAGGATTTCTCACCCAACCATTACCACATGTAAATGAATGACATATCATTGCAAAGAGGAGAGACATGGCTTTATGGTACATTAAATGAAATTGATGTAGTCATCACTAGTTTTGTGATTTTACAAGATAACTACTAGTACTTGTTGCGTTTTTTTTATACGCCCTGTATGTTTACAGATTTGACTGAACAGCTAGATGTTCAAATTGTTCAAAGTCTGTTTAGTAATAATCCTCATAGTTTGGATCATCATCATAGTCGTAATTGTCATTAATAGTGATCTGTGGAATTTCCACACAGGCAACTTCATCATCGTGCTCATTGTGGACAAGTAATTTCAACTTATAGGTACCCTGGAAATAGAATATCATGGTTATATATTTTGCAAGTGACTTCAAGCTCGACCAAGTGGGTGACAGGGGTGGCAGGATACACACATTCCAATTTCCATTAATCGATTGTCTGGCTCTAAAAATTTTGACATGAGGCCATAAGAAGTAGATTCTTTGTTTTACGTCCTGGCAAAATCCAAATCATGCAAGGGTACAAGGAAAACAAACACAAACTCAAGAAAAAACACAAACTTGTTTGCTGAGAAATGTATACATTTTATGGGCATAAAAAGGGATGACATACCAATTTGCAGTGATTACAAACACATATCTATACACGCTATACAACATATTTAAACATAGCTATTATTCAAGGGTAAAAAATAAGAAAATCCACAATGTATGCTAAAGTAATCAATAACACTGTTCGGTTTTTTGCTGTATCGGCAATTGGCGATCACAAGTTTTTCTACAGGAATATTTTTGCTTGACAATAATCAGGTAAAATGCGTATTTGCGTGACATATTCTGTCACGCAAAAAAAACTGGCGTGACTTCAAATTAAGAAAAATGGCTGTCATTTTCAAAATCAGTGGCCATCTTGAAAATCTCTTCTTCAGCAAAATTACTTTTTCCTAGGCATCAGCATATAAAATTTGAACCAAATCTGTCAACTAGTATTTGAGTTATCGAAGATTACATTTCTAACGAAAAATGGTGGCAATTTTGAATTGAGCAGCCATATTGAAAATTCCTTTGAGTGCAGAGGTCCTTACCCATCAGGCATTAGCCTATAAAATCTGAATCAAATCGGTCAACCAGTATTTGAGTTATCGCCCGAACACACAAATGACAGACAGACGGACTAACAGACAGATAGATGGCCATATAAGCCTATAAAATTTGAATCAAATCCGTCAACCAGTATTTGAGTTATCACCTAACACATGACGGACGGACGGACAGACAAATGGATAGATCAAATATCATATGAAGATATATTAGATATGGGGATCAAGAAATCAAACTTTAGCAAAAAATTCCCCTACCATAGAATATCACAAGCCTTTTCTTAGTAACATATATAACAAGAACAGCACACCACGGAGTAGCAAATACCATAGAAAAAACATATTTTGATAATAAGCAGCCATCTTGAAAATTTACTTCATCAAAAATTACAATTTTATACAAAATGGAGGCCATGTTGAAATTAAGAGGGATGATCTTAAAAATGTCTCCATTAGTAGAGCTCCTCCGTCCCTTGGCATCAACATATTAAATTTGAACCAAATCTGTCAATTGGCATTTGAGTTATTAAAGATTCATAGGTAGCAATCTGAGGCACTTCGATCAGGGTGTTGTCAGGACAATTTCTCTTGTGACTTAGGTTATGTATTTAGGTCCGTTTTCAAAAACAGCGGTCATTTTGTAATTCAGACGCCATCTTGAAAATTCTTTCTCAAACAGAGCTACTGTGTCCCTAGGTATGAGAATATAAAATATGAACCAAATCCATTCACTGGTATTTGAGTTATCAAAGATAAATTTTTTACCAAAAATGGTGGCAATTTGAAATTCAGTTGCTATCTTGAAAATTCTTTCATGAACAGACTTATGTCCCTAGGCATTATATACAATCTAAACCAAATCCATTCTCTGGTATTTGAGTTATCAAAGATAATTTTTTTACCAAAAATGGTGGCAATTTGAAATTCAGTTGCTATCTTGAAAATTCTTTCATGAACAGAGTTATGTCCCTAGGCATTATATACAATCTAAACCAAATCTGTTCACTGGTATTTGGAATATCAAAGATAAGTTATTTTTTCGAAAAAATGGTCACCATTTTGATATTCAGTGGCCATCTTGAAAATCTCTTCTTGAGTAAAGCTACTTAGATTATCCCTAGGCATCAGCATACAAAATTTGAACCAAATCTGGTCATTGGAATTTATGTTTTTTACCCAAAAATTGCCACCATTTTGAAATTCAGTGGCCATTTTCAAAATCTCTTTAAAAGCAAAGTTACTTTATTGCTAGGCATCAGCATATACAATTTGAATCAAACCTGTTCACTGGTATTTGAGTAATCAAATATTGGGTGCACCCCAGTTGTCCGAAACCCAGTTGTCCGAAACCCAGTTGTCCGAAACCCAGTTGTCCGAAACCCAGTTGTCCGAAACCCAGTTGTCCGAAAAATTTAGTCATAATTTACCAGATAAAGGGGGACGCACCTCAAGCCAGTTTCATGTCATGTATTTGGCAAAATCAATGGCATGGACGCATTCTGATGTATAGATCTCTCTCTCACTTTGAATTGCATCCATTACACGGCGTTACCAGAATGACAGGAACGGGGGATTTATTTTACATTGTGATTCTAAAAAAGGTCATCAAAACACAATATATATTACGGAACAGTTGATCTTATCTTATTCAATATATTTTATATAGGCAAAATAAAATGAAACATTTTGAAACCGATAAAATAAGTTAACGCATAAAACTTTAAGAATAAACAGTAAGCCTACACATATTACGTTGTCAAAATGTTTCGTCGCATTTAATTTCTTAGTCTCTGTCTCCTCTTATCAAATCGTAAAATGTAAAAGAACAAAACATTCTAAACGTAATCACTTGGGATTAACTGGAAACGAAGACAGGCTGTCCTCGTATCAAATTGGATGTTCTCCCATTCGCAAGAAGTTTCATTTTCGCCATGTAGGCTTACTCACTTCATCTTTTTGAATTTAATCTCTATTTCCCGAACAGAGTACCTAAATGAAGAATAATTTTTGGTTTCAAAAGATGTACACGTCAACTTTACTCAATAAATGCCCACTGGCTTGGGAAAACTATTTCCCTTTTATGAACGCCCATCACACATTGGAAAAATGTTGTTCCCTCTCAAAAAGCCCCATGGGGCATAAAGAAAATTGGTTTAAAAATTGTAGACCCCTATGTATGTTAATATGTAAACGCCACTTTGCAATGAAAATATCATAATTTAACTTTGTTTATAATTTGAAGATCTGTATCACCTGTATTTTCATCTTTCGACAGTTTTTATTAGGCTAAATACTAGCTTCACGATCACTTTTCATTTGATATTACATCCTAGCACTATGAATAACATTTATAAATTGCCCTGATGTAAATAAAATGAAAAAAGTATTATTTATCAACAGAAATTTAAAATTCACCGGGCGGCTGCCGTGGGAAATGTGACTGCAAAAGTATGAGATCGCAGAATTTCTACGGCGAGCGTGGAAAAGCTATTGGCCGCAGAAATGATAGACCGCACGGTGGCCGTTGGAAATGTGACTGGGGTGTAATTCCAATAATTGGGGACACATATGCAATCCACGTTATTCTTCAGGAACAGAAAATGCAACCAATGATAAAATAAAAAATTGCATTTTGAATCCGACTGAGTCCTATTGATCCTCATAAATTACCCCCTACTCATACCAAGTTAAAATGTGCCCATCGTGCGCCTAATGCTAATGGCGCTGTCACACTTGTCGTGTCCCGTCCCGTCTCTCAACGTACAAAGCATTCAGGCCAAAATTTAAGGAATAAGCTATAGTGAGCTGTTTCAGAACGCCGTCTGAAACGCGTTCTGATTCTGAACCCACTGTATTCATTGGACGGTGGGAGGTCGTCCATGCTTACACTTTCCGTATCTGACCCTATTATCACACCAAACTAGTTCTCACTACGCTCTCGAGAACGGGCTTAAACTGTATGGACGGATTGGAAGTACTTAGAACCGTTTGGGGTCTACTTGCCTACCCGAAAGGGTAGTTCCAAAATTTCCACGTGGTCATCACTTTCTGCAATCACGCGGTCTTCGACCGTTAATTGGAATTTTTGACCTACCAGATGCTTGAAAATCAAGGATTGCGAGTCTGATACTGCACCTTTTTTCTTCCATTATACCATTAAAAGCAAAACAAAATTGCACTTCTGTCAGTGCATTACTTTATTGTAAAGAGTCTCTCGTTCTAGCAGCGTTTTGGTCCGCACTCCCCAGCTGTTAGAAGGCCTTCTTACAGCTGGGGACCAAAATTACGCTGGAAGTAGGAACTCTGTTTAAGATAATAACGTACCATCAGAAAGAGATTTTTGTCATGCTTTGAATGGAACAAGTTTGAAGAAAAACGGTGCAGTATGAGACCGGCGTAATCCTTGATTTTCAAATATCCGGTACGTCAAAAATTCAAATTAACGGTCGAAGTTAGGACCGCGTGGCAATTATATCGAGTGACAATGTACTAACGACGAACAGGACGTGGGGCAAAGGTTGAACTGTCTCAGAATGTATAGGGAACGAGGTAGAAATAAAGAATTCATATGAACGAGTCATGCAAGATACTAAAGAGATACAAATGCATTTTGATACTCAGTTTTTGGGCAATTAAAACTCCCTGTCTGCATTGAGTAGTTATTTATTGTCCGGTGTATAATTTTTAAACATTATCCTAATTTTTCACAAAACTTTTTTTGATTCTGCAATAGTTAATGGTTGACATCTATGGCACACTAAAAACGAATTTTTTTTATGCAGGGTACGTACATGATACAAATCAAATCTTGGCTCTACTACAAACTATTACACACTTACTTCAACAGTTCAATATATCGCAAAACACAGTTTTGATTTTGAACAATATCACCAATGGGAGAAATTCTTAAATCTAAATGTTTGGAAAGGAATACGTTTCTACTAAAACATACAAACCTCTAATATTATGATGAAAAAAGGATAGACATCTGATATGTATATATGCCACATATATAAGCTTAAGTTATACGAAATGAGCATATTTTATTGATTTATCGAAAATTTGGACGAAATCTTAACAGTGGGTGGTACTGAACAACCAAAATCTTCTTTTTAGATATTTTTCAGGGTAGAAATAATATCAATTGATATTGGAAAACATAATTAACCATATTTTATTGAGAAAAGGGAATGAAAAAAATCATCAAATGAATATAATTGTCACGGACGTCCATACGTTATTCTAATGAGATAGATGTTCCTTTCGCCAGAATATTCTCTTCGACTGTGATAATTGTCTAAAATGTTGGCGGCAGTCTTGAATTTTCACCAAGAAGGAGTGCGATTCGTGCTGGACAATGCGGTTCAAAATTTGTAGAATGTCCATATAAGTCTATGTGCCGAGAATCTAGTAAGAATATATATATGATCGTGAACTTTCGGACCCATTATTGACCGGGCTAACCGATGTCAACGTGATACCAATGTTATGCTGTCCTGATTCGCGAGGTTGCGACAAGATTCGTTACTAAGAAATTTAATTTTTTAATTTTCGGAGAACTGGGTTTCGGAGAACTGGGTTTCGGAAAAATGGGTTTCGGAAAACTGGGTTTCGGACAACTGGGTTTCGGACAACTGGGTTTCGGACAACTGGGTTTCGGACAACTGGGTTGACCCCTCAAATATTACGTTTTTGTACGAAAAATGGCTGCCTCACTTAAAAGTTTTTTCTTGAGCAGAGCTCCTTTGTCACTAGGCATTAGCACATAAAATATGAACCAAATATATTATAAATTACAGAGAGGCACATATAGCCACCCTAACCAATTTAACATAGTAGTGAGATAATATACTTACAGCTGGAAGGAAAGGAGATGGCACTGTGAAGGTCCTGGTATCATTATACTTCTCTAAAAGAAAAGAGATGTGTTAAAGAAGCATTTTAGAAAAGTGAAGTCAATATGAAAATCCTTTTGTAAAATTGATATCAAATAAAAGTGCTTTGTTGAAGCGACCTCAATGTCCATGAAGAAGCTTCATTAAAGTGACCCCAATGTGAATTAAAGAGCTTAACATGTTCTCAATGTGAACAGGTTTCATAAAAATATTTTCTAATGTAAAAGGGTTGTGTAAAAATGATCTCAAAAGCAATTCATACTAGTTGCACATAAATACGTATATGAAAAATCCTGTGCAAATTTTACTTAAAATACTGTTTGAGACTTTTTTGAAATTGTGAATTTCAAATATTTTAATTTCCCACCATTTGAAATAACCATTTAAAACAAGAGTTTAGATCTTGAGATCATCAAATATTAACACTGTAAAATACATTGTTTTCTTTACTTCAAGGAATAGATCAGGCAAATGCTTAATATTAGAGAATTTTCGTTATAAGTTTTTTAAAAACTTATACGTATACTTATACTTATAAACCCAATAAACAAGGTGTTTCATAATTTCCTAATTCGTCGGGAAATATCTCCTAGGACGGTAATAAAAAGGGCCAATGGCATACCATCCGTACCCCCTTGATGTAAAGCATGTTTAGTTGTGTCATATGTGTTTTCTAGAATCAAATAGGCTGATATTGCACACAGGTTTTACAGATTTATCTACTCTCAAATATATTTTTTGTAGATGATCGTTTTGAATCACCTTGTAGAAATAACGAAGGGAGAATTAGTTCAGCTAATGAATGAGTCGAGTTGTTTGATTGGATACTATGCCTATTCAGCCGATTAATTTTAATAAGCCATTCTGGTCAGTAGGTCCACACATATACTATGCGGAGATCCAACTCTGTAAGTTTATAATCTGCGTATAAAGGCCCTTTTATACGTAAAAACTTAAAAATTGACCTTATAATTTCATGAGAACTTTGAAATGATCGACTCGTTCGTGTAGTGATTCACTTTAAAGGGTCTTGTTTATCGTACACTACAAGGACCCGTCAACTAGCGTTTAGTTTATCGTGTTCATAATTGACACTAGCAAAGGACATTGTATTCGCAGTCCCTAGTTGATGATGGAGCTTGACTATATCGGGAATAGTTATGCCCCACTTGGTACAGATTATGAAAATCAATTTGAATTGATTTTAGTTCGACAAGACCCTTTAAACTATAAGTATACGTATAAGTTTTTGAAACAACTTATAACGAGAATTCTCTATTATTTCAACCATTCAATCTATGATTTATGCTTAAACAATAAACGTTAAAAGCACTTTCAAAGATGTCACGAGTATACACGTTGATGTCAAGTAGCAACATTTTTTTCAAACAAATACATTTTTTCAAGTACAAATATTTTCTAAATACGGTAAATTTTCAAAATAAAGCAATATTGTTAGCGTATGTAGGTCATATCATGTTTTAAATATCTATGTACCACCACAGACATAAAAACAGAATGAGTGAAGAGGGGAGGTACGTATGATTTCTGCTAGAAAATTCAACAAATCTGCAAGATCTTTTGTTCATTAAAAAGTTTACTAATAAATTGGTAAATGGGTAAATGGATGAGATAGGTGCATGGTATAGTAAAATCTGGTATATGGTCTTATATGATTCTTTTGCAAAGCCTCTAAAACCATTTTTCTTGACATTGCAGCTGCTTTTGACCATGTTCCACATAACTTACTTCTACACAAACTAAGGGCCTACGGTATTCATGGACAATTCTAAATTTACTAAAATCATATCTGACAAATAGGCGGTTTTTTGTAAACATTGCTGGTGAGTCATCAGTAACAACTGAAGCAGGCTTCCTAAACTGTGGCGTGCCACAGGGATCAATTTTAGGCCCACTTCTATTTATTTTATACATTAATGACCTTCCTGATAATGTAAACTCCAAATGCTATATCTATGCAGATGACACATCTCTTCATTTTATTTTTGATCCCAAAAAGCCCCAAGAAATTGATGAACTAGTTAAATCCGATCTAACTGAGATAGAAAATTGGTCCAAATTGTGGAAATTACAATTTAAACCAGAAAAGAGCTGTGAAGTTATTTTCCATGGAGTTAGAGCAAATCCTCAAAATGTAAACAAATCCTTTCTAAGTGACTCTGAAATCGAAAGAACAAATGTACATAAACACCTTGGATACACTTTTGATCATAATCTGACCAATCAAAACCATATTGAAGAAATATATAATAAAGTTAGGAAAATGATAAATCCCCTGAAGAACCTTAAAACAAAGTTAAACTCAAGAGATCTGGAAACGCTTTTCAACTCATTTATAAGACCTCATTTTGATTATGGTACTGCTATTTTTAACACTGCATCAAAATATCTTCTAAATAGACTTGATCAAATTTATTATCAGGCTGCTCTTTTGTGCTCTGGTTGTCTTCATGGCAGTAATACTGATAAAGTTTTGAATCTCCTTCAATGGCCTTCTCTAGACACAAGAAGAAAAATGCAAATTAACAACTTTATGTTTAAAGTTGTAAATGGTCCAAATCCACCCTTTTTAGATGAAATTTTTGATAAATTCAAAAATCGGGGAACACGCAATCTGCGTGATAGATCTGAATTTAATTTACCAACCAGATGCTCAAAGAGGTTCTTGAATTCATCAGTTCCATCAGCAATATCAAACTGGTCACGACTACCAAAACGATTATGTAATTTGAATACTCTCCAATCTTTTAAAAAACACCAAAAGATTTTGTTTAAAAACCAAGAAAGTTTTATTAGCACCTCCAAACTCAATCTAAAAAGATCTCATGAAATTTTGATTAACCAATTTAGAGCTGATCTTCTTTTCAAAGCCCAACTTTATGCTCACAACTTCACTTATGTTGAGAATCCAAACTGTAAATGTGGAGCCCCCCAGACGGAAAAACACTTCTTCTTTCAGTGTCCCCTTATTAAAGAAAAGATAACAAAATTAAAAACTGATATTATTAATATAACTGGACTATCAGATAATCATTCAACTCAGAATGATCTCCTTTACTTAATGAAACATGGCTCGGACAATATTTCCCTTGATCTAAATTCACATCTCCAAACCTCAATCGCTGAAATCATTGAAATTAACCTATAACGTTTTCCCCTCCCTACATACTATATATACTATACTTTATTTTATATTATCCACACTTAATATTTCCACCCCATGGCCAACCACAAGTGCAGAGTGAACCCCTTGACCTAATCATAATTTTGTATTTTGTGCTATTAAAGGGGCAATAAGGCTTGTAGAGAGAAAATAGGAAATTTTAACTTTTTCTGAGCTATCAAGGCAACAGTTGGCCTAACATCTTCTTCGACATACCTATTTTCTTAAAATATATGGATTAACTATCAATTTCGGCATTAAAAAGTGTAAATTCAGTTCAAGGCTTCAAAAAGGTGGCGTCCACTTTTATATTTTTAAGATCCACCATGTTTCAAGAGGAATATAAGCTGAAGTAATGATTATCTAGGGGGTTTCTTTGTAGAAAATAAAAATGGATGTTAGTCTTGATAAAATATCCAAACTTCAATATATTTTGACTCTGGTCCATGATCGTTGAATGGCCCCTCTGCACTACTTGTTGCACCTTTAATGTACCCTTCTATAATGCCTTCGGGCGACTGAAGGGATTTATATTATGATATTTTTATGAAGCAATAAATATTTCTAAATAAAATAAAAAAATTCTTTTGAACAGACACACACTTCTAAGGTGTAGGATCTTATTTATAAAGGCACAATGTCACCAGTGTCTAAAAGTCAATCGTTTTGCTGTAATTCAAGCAGTGGACATCTCAATGACCTGTAATAAATGCATAAAAATGAAGTTCAATCGCAAAACATATGTCATTACTGTTTCCTTTAAAATGATCGTTACGAAACATTGTGAAAAAAATAATCAAAACATTCCAGTGAGTAGAGGGGGGTGTGAGTTTAAAACTTAGTGACAGACACTTTATTACTGCCCTATCTGACAAGAAGCATTCCTTGCATTTTGAAAAATAAGGGTAAAAATGTCCAAAAAACTACACCTGCTACAATGTAGTAATATCATATTTTCTAAAAAATCACCATAAGTTATTATAACCCTTATTTGGTACCAATTAACCCCCATAAAACTAGCATGAATGTGCTACTTACTTCCTTTCTGTAAGGGGCAAGCAACTGGCAAGTACTTCTGAAGATCCATACAGTTCAGATTTAGCTTCTGTCTGATGATAGGGTTAGGCTGATTGGGGATCCACACATTGAGAGTTCCCACTCCCTCTTGAAAGTCAGCCACTAAAACACCAATAAGCATCTGAATGTTTGCTTATGGGAATAAACAATGTGTGATGATGGGTAGAATGGTCATGTACAAGTATATCCAAAGTAAAAAATAAGGGTTTACGAAAAAGACTGACCCAACCGACAGGTCGGTGTTTTCCACAGGTACAGTAACCTCAAAACAGGGTTTGAAGAAAATGTGTAAAAGACCCACCATTTCATGTAAAAGACTGACCATATTTGGAGCCTTAAAATATTAATAATTTGATTTTGAATGTCAATCGTATGGCCTAGGCAACGTTTTTTACTGATTTTGTACCTTTCAACGAATGGCAAGCAAACAAATTGGGCATGACCGTCTCCTCTCGATTTAACTGTCCTGCCTTAGGTTTCTAACCTATCATTAACCAACCTATCGTTTCTATGGGTATCTATCCTAATTTCTTACTGAAATCTAACAATTTCGAAATAAAATTGATCTTATCGTCATAGCCTACTGAATTCTGAACATGATATAATGTTTCATGCGTTCTCTTATCTGGATTAAAAGTGACTAACCATTTCAGTACACCATAAGAAAGCTTTTTTTGTCATATTGAATGTTGTTTTTACCAGTTGACATTTAACAACTGAGAAATCAAACATTACGTAACGACGTTAACATTGACAATGTTAGTGTGTTTTTGTCACTGCGTTTCATATGAATGAACTTAAAGGAATTCTAGCTGATAAAAATAACAAAATATTGCTTCTGGGACAAGATCAAACTACTTTTACATATTCTTTACTATTTTGTATTTTAACAACCAACACAAGTATACATATTTCAGCAGATATCGGATGAATTCATAAAAATATTTTTTGATTGATAAAATCATCGATTGTAAAAGCGGAAGTGCGTTCTGTAACGTCCGCGTGTGAATATTTCAATTATTCAGATTTTGCCATGGATTCAATTTTTAATGCTTCTAAATGATTTTCTAATGCTTACTATGATTTCTATTAGTAGTGTTTTGACTTCCCTGCTTCATAAAAAAGAACATTATCACCATTTACTCGACTCTAAAATTCATTTCCGGTCTGTCGTAATAAAGATGCTGAAAGTTGTTCTGAACACCTTTCTATGTATACCTAAATTTGAATCCAGAAAGTCAATTTGAAAAGTCAACTTTTTGACCTTTTGAAGGTCACTGAAGGTCAACCAAAGGTCAATACTAAGATTTGAACTCCTGAGAACTTGCAGATGCTTTTTAAAAAAGTTTGATCAATTTGAAGCGAGTTGAAAATTGACTGACTTTTACTGTTTTTTGACGTCAAATATCTCAAAAATGGTGAAAATTTAATGCTGACATATAGTGAGCAATTTGTAGAGAATGCTTAAATCTGGTTACGATTTAATTCATCACAAGATAAAATGAAGTTATAATGACAAAATTTGGGAAACTTGAAAAAACTTAGATTTGACCTAGATTTTGGCCTTTTAACCTTGACCTAGATAAAAATTTCTTTCCCCCAATTTCAGCAAAGGTTCCTAGTAGGAACATATAAGAGTTAACTCAGACCTAGCTAAAAGTAGGAGAAAAAGTGCTACAAAGAATAACTAGATATCAAGACTCCTTGATATCAAGGCCCCTTGAAGGGCCTCCTAATAATTAGAATACAGGCAAAAACAATCTGGAGTCTAATACAGAGCTGTCAAGTGTCCCGCGAATGGCGGGATTATCCCGCGAATTTGATCAAAATTAGGCTAATTCGCGTGTCCCGCAATGTCCCGCGAAGTCCCGCAAATGTGGCTTGACCTTCGCGAATTTCGGAAATTGTTGCAATCCCCTGTATTGTGATTATCTTATCTTATATAAGAAGCTAAGTTTTTGCACTTTTGAGGAGTAAAGTTAACCTAATTTTAAGTACCTAGCATGCTGTTGTTTGGTATCAAAATAAAGAGGAAGGGTTCAACTTTCATTTTAATTACGAAAATAGGGATGTAGGTCACAACGTTGGACTTTTTACTACCCGTGTGGCCCTCATCTCGGAACTGAGCAAATGTTAGCAAACACGAGTTACAATAAATGGACGCTGATATCTAGAAAGGGTTTGTAGAAAAAACAGGGTACTGGGTAGTAAATCCTCCATGCTGGGTTCAAACTTGGTACCCGGTACCCGGTCAAAAAATGGGTACCCAAAAAAGAAAAATACGAATATATAACATAATTAGACCATGAGAAATCGTGTAAGATTTGTTTTGAATTTACAAAAATGTATGTAACATCCTTCAAAATTGAGCTAGAAGCTTCAAATAAAAAGCATATTTTAAGGCTCTTTTCTTCCTCTATCGTCATGGCCATATTTTCATTGGTTATGGGGGGGGGGGGGGGTGCGATTGCACCATCGCACCCTCTCCTGGCTACGCCTATGACATTGTAAGACATAACAATTTACAATTCAGTGGACATTTTGTCGAAAATTGAGATAACTTAAATTATGATTAATAAACAAACCCCATCTAGAAAAGTAACCTCATTCCCTATAATTTGATGTAGATTAACGAACCCCTATATAGTTTATGAATAGGTACATTTTAATATATAACATTATGGGGGTAAGCGTTTCGTAGTTGGTCACGACGCCAGAAGTGCAAAGTATTGTTCCGAATTTTTGAATTTCGTGTTAGATTACGGTACTCACACTTGAAGCATGGTTTTTGTTTTTGATAAATTACAATAAAGTTTAATAATATTCCTATGCGTATTTTTGAAATTGTGTTGACGTTTATTTAAGTTACAATGTAACGGTGCATTATATTTGATTTTGATTTAAGTACTTATACACGCTTTTACATTAGTCCCAATCACGCAAAACCCTTGAATGTCCCGGGACATCCTGCAAATTTAGGTGGATGTCCCGCGAAATCCCGCAAATTTAGGGCACTTTGTCTAGAAAAAACTGTCCCTCTATGAAGTTTTTGGTGGTAAACCGGTTAACTGTCCCGCAATTAGGGTGTTTGTCCCTCGAATGGTCCCGCGAAATCCAGCGAATTTGATAAAAAAAATTTAGCCTATTTGCGCAATCACGCAAATCCCTTAAATGTCCCGCGAAATCCCGCGAATTTAGTAGATGTCCCGCAAAATCCCGCGAATTTTGGGCACTGGGTCTAAAAAATCTGTCCCGCGAGAAAATCTTTGGGGGTTGACAGTACTGCTAATAAGTAATATTGTATATGTCGCAAAATAGATCAATAATATATGTTTTGGAGATAGCATTTCTCCACTGATGCATTCATTATATTTGAATGATGTCGAGAAATATTATTGAAAAAATATTGGCAATCAGATTAATGTTGGAAATGAAATAGATGGATACATTTGTATTTGAAATTATTTGTCTTGCTCTATGCTGATGACACAGTCATCTTTACCAATAGTAAAGATAAGCTGCAAGATGCTTTTTCTTCGCTAGCAATGTATTGTGATACATGGCAAATCAAAATTAATACCGAGAAAACAAAATATATGGTGATCAATAGGAAAAGGTTTAAAAGAACCGATAACATTACCCTTAATGGCAGTATAGTTGAAAATGTACCACACTTAACATATTTAGGGGTATTTTTTGATAGCAAGGGTAGTTTGAATTTAAATATGAAACATTTGTATAGTCAAGCAGAAAAGGTAATGTTTTCAGTTCTTAGTAGATGTAACAAATTTGCATTACCTCTTAAAACACAGTTGCATTTATTCTACACCCTAGTTCTGCCAATATTAATGTATGGTGCTGAGATATGGGGTATGACAGATAACAAACTGATTGAAAAACTACATCTTAAATTTCTAAAATACTCTAAGAGCGAGGAGGAAAATTCTTAATAAATGAAGTATAGTTGGTTTGGCAGCATTTTCAGTTAGGGGGAAGTCTTGGATGAAAATTCTACCTAGGTGATAGCTTCACAGAGTGGTACATAATTCTTTTTTTTCAGGGATTAGCCCCCCACCCCCCAAAATAACCCCACCCCGGTAAAATAATTTTTTTCATTCTCAATAACTTTAGATATCTCGTTGTTTGTAAGTTACATACATAGACATTATATATATGAATCATTTGAAAAATAAATAATGCTAATCACTCGTACAGAATTTGAATAATAGTACAAAGTGTGTACCCCAGGGGGCAAATTCGTGACCCATTTTCTTACTATTTAGAGCCTCACTTTTCAATCAGACACTGCAAGACATTGGAAAAATTCACCTGAAGTGCCCAGTAGCAGACCTATAAGCCCTGAAAGATTCAAATTAATTGAATCAGTATGAGTCGAGAAAAAAATTGTTGATTTTTTGAAAAATTTGACATTTTTGAGAGGCGTGATTTTGTGTATGACTATAGCTGAGGCCTATGGTTTCTAGATCTATCCCTCTTTGATAATAAATATGGTTTTGAAGTATGGAACTAAGATGTAAAAAATAATTAAAATGGGTTTTAAGGAAGTTAAAAGTTTTAAACAAGTTCAAAATTCAAAGAATTGTATAATATCATGTCTGAATTTACGAATTTTAGGTAAGACCTTGGATGAGCCTTTTTAAGATGGTTTAAGGAATTTAACAAATCCAAAATTTGAAGAATTGTACAATATAAGGTCTGAATTTATGAATTTCAGGTAAGACCTTGGATGAGCCTTATATTTTATACATCTGTCCCTCTTTGATGATATGTATGGTTTTGTAGTGTGAAACTAATGAGTAAGAATAATTTAGATAGATTTGAAGGTTTAAGGATTTTAAATGAGTCCAAAATTTGAAGAATTGTACAATATCAGGTCTGAATTTATGAATTTCCGGTATGACCTTGGACGAGCCTTACGCTTTTTACATCCTTCCCTCTTTGATGATATGTATGGTTTTGTAGTGTGGAACTATGATGTAAAAAATAATTAAGATGCATTTTAAGAAGGTTTAAGGATTTAAACAATTTGAAGAATTGTACAATATCAAGTCTGCAATTAACAAATTTCAAGTATAACCTTG